TGTACGATTGACCTAGTGTTTCAACCTTCTGTACGATTGACCTAGTGTTTTAACTTTTTGTACGATTGACTTAGTGTCTCAACTTTCTGTAACATTGACCTAGTGTCTCAACTTTCTGTACGATTGACCTAGTGTCTAGCTAGTAGATTTCCAGTTTTCACTAGTTTTTTCCAAGCACACGTTTTTGTATACAGAGCCTTAACTCTTCTTGTTTCATTAACGAATTTTCGCTCCCACAATTCAAGTTTCTTCAGTTGATTGACTGTTGCGCTAATTTCAGGTTTCGATAACGAATAAGGTCAGAAATTTGAAAGATCCAACGAGACGGAAGAGTGAGAAATAGAGAATGAAAGTCCTGAAAATTTTTTACAGCGTAGAGGATGTTGTTCTTTATAAATTCCTAGGTCTTGAAAACGTACAAGAACTACGCGTATGGCGCATGATAAATGTATTCCAGTTCCTCTTATTAACGGTTTCAATTTCGGAGCTGATGAGCCGGGTTCGAATCTGTGTGATATCACAAAATGTTAACACACATACAGTTTAACCGCGTGTGCATTCTAATAACGACAGTCAATCTCTTAGCACGGGAGGTAAGGTGCTGATAAATAGATGCTATTCCTCTATCAGTAGTTCATAATTAGGGATGGCAGCGTATAGGCTTAGTAGCTTTGTCATAAATACTAATACCGTTTTATTGAATGGCATGATATCAAAATACGTTAGAATAAGAACTACTGTAAAAAATATTGGTTAAGTTGTAGTTTAATGTGCTTGAATCAAGATTTTTGTTTCTTTCATTTGATGTAGAGGTTTAGCGTGCTTGGACTGTGGATCTGAGAATTCATGGTTCGCGAGCGACCTATTGCCGCAAAAATGTGCTACACACTTTGGAGTCGTAGATGTGCTATAAGAGTGACGGTAAAATCCCGTGTGCTACTGAACAGTTGCCTTCCCTCAAAATTACAGATGGCTATGGCTCTGAGTGAAATTCTGAAACAAATAAACAAGTTGAATTTCTTATATTAACCTCAACAAAACCATATTTGACATACGAGCTAAAATTACACGTGAGAGACTCCAAAGGTCAGGCATAGTTATCCCTAATAGAGAACTTCTGATGACCAGAAGAGAAGCTAGTGTTACCATGATACACCATTTTAAACGGTGTAAGGCCGAATAAATATATTAAACTAACATAACTCGTATGATTACGAGTAAGTTAACGTGTTTTGTAGTTCGCTAATATATTCCATCCTAATCCACCCCTAAAAAATGGGTGTGCATATTCAATCTATAGCAAAAAATTACATGAGAAAACGTTTAAATATATTTTCATATCAAGTCGTTTACGGACGTACAACGTAAAATCCGGTGTTCCATACTCCTCGGTGGACAGAGAGCAGATAGCCTATTGTGTAACTTTGTTCCCCGGTGGACCAGCAGCAAAAGTCTGAGGATTTATAACGCTAGAAATCGGGTTTCGTTATCAGCGTTATCATTGTGTAGCACTGTGCTTAACAAACTCTTACATTTACATCAATCACCTGCGTTGACACTGACCATGAAAGCCGAAGCGTTTGTTTGTAATTAAGCACAAAGCTACACAATGGGCTATCTGTGCTTTTCCCACCACGAGTATTGAAACCCGGTTTCTTGGGGAGGGGGGAAGTCAGCAGACATACCGCTGTGCCACTGGGGGGGGGGGGGGCGAAGCGTGAAACCTGAAAATTCTCAGAGCATACACGAGCGTTTAGCACTCGTGTTCTTGGGAAAAGAAAAACCATAATTTCTCTCGAACTTTCTTCTTCTTCTTTTTTTTCTTTTCTAATATCAAATAATTCTAAACTCACTTGTAATCCTTTCTAATTTTAGAAATCTCCTTTCAAAACCATTTTTCAAAATTTCATTTTTTTTTCTAAAATGCTCTTAGACCGAATAAAAAGAAAGCACCAACGTAGCGTTGTTTTTACACTCCGATTTTTTCTTGATCAACACTCAAGAAATCCTAGAAACAAAACTGAAACCGAGGCATACCTCCAAGCTCAAGATTAACAGAGCATGATGACGCATTTCATTCCAGCGCAACTTTCATACTCAAAGTTAGGCCACTGACTTCTTCGTATGAAAACCACTTGTAATTGGTTACTGAACGAAAAATTATCGGAGCATAAAAGCGTATGAAAATAAACAGAAAAGAAAATGTAATGAGAATTATTAAGAACGCTTGTTTTGAACAAATTACACGCATCGTGACGTTGAAGAAATTAAAAGAATATATTGACATGCGCAGTAGATCCAAACCTAGGAAGAAATGGTTATAACACTAAAAAGCAATTATACACTTTCTGTAAACGTTAGGAACTTTTCTTCAAAAATGCTAAGAAGCTTTGTTTTGTTTTTTGGAGTTGTTAAATTTTTAATAAACGATTTTTTTTCCAAACTAGTAAACTCGCACATGAAACTTTGAACATGATTAACTGACTGCTTTGAACGAATGAAAATAATGATAATAATAATAAAAAATACGTTATATAACCAATAAAATAGGCCAAAAAAATGACAAAACACTTCCTTTATTTGGTATATCAATTTTTCATGACTTTACAGCAGTGGTTTCCAAACTGTGTGTCGCAGTAAGTTGCTACGAGTGTCATGAGAGTTTCACCAAACGAAGAATAACTAAGAACATAAAAAACTTTACAAAAATTATTGTATTTGGCAGCAGGGGTGTCGAGCAAATCAATGTAAGTGTGTTAGGGTTTCGTCATTGAAAAAAGTTTGGAAGCCCTACTTTACAATGTTTTCAACACTAGGGGCCTAAATATTTCTCATTTTGGCAGAAAATATGGAAACTCCACATCATATACAAAAAGTATAATACCAGTTTTATAAAAAAAAAAAAACTTTTGATTATTTTTTAAAAAATTCTTCGTTTTCTTGTTCAATGTCCTTTTGATATTCAAGATCAGTCAGCCGTTCTTTTCGCAGTATTTTAATTGTCTTAAAATCTCAGAAAAAGTAGTCCCCCGAAGGGACAGCAGTAAGTTACGGACTTACAACGGGTTGTATTACCCGCGGTAACAAGGCAGATAGTTCAATGTGGATTTGCTATAAAATGAACAAACAAACTTAGAAAAAGTAAAATGATTTTCCTTTGTAAATTGTAACGGTCAATCCCACTATTCGTTGGTAAAAGAGTAGCCCAAGAGTTGGCGATGGGTGGTGATGACTAGCTGCCTTCCCTCTAGTCTTACACTGCTAAATTAGGGACGGCTAGCGCAGATAGCCCTCGTGTAGCTTTGCGCGAAATTCAAAACAAACAAATGATTCTCAACGTGTGGGACCTGAAGAAAAGTATCTTTGTACCAAATCCCATGTAAATTGGTCAAAATATGGCCATGTAGTTGACCAAAAACCCCAAAATTATGCTTTTTTTTAGTCAGCTCTGGACACC